GGTGGCCGGGAGCGGCCACTGCACCCCAGTCTGGGCGACAGAGTGAGACTCCAACTCAAAAAAAAAAAAGATAGGAGAAATAGCAACATGTTTGTATTCTGATGGGAATGATCTAGTAGAGAGTGAACATTTGATATTGTAGGGAAAAGAGAGAGGAAGGAACCCTTGGACTGATGTCCTGGGGTAGGCTTTAATTTCAAGAACCCTTGCTTTTCTCCCGTGCAGAGGATGTGTGGGGTGAACATGTGGGCATGGGAGGGAGAGATAAGAAAAACAAAAAAGCTACCAGGCTTCTCCCCTTTCTAAGTTTCCTTTCTGTGTCCCTTCCTTCTCCCTTCTATCTCACCATTTGGACCAGGACCCCCAGCTGGCAGGGGAGTAGGGACTGCTACCAGGTCCTTCTTCCACTGTACAAAAGGATCCTAAATATAAATAGATAAACCACCTTTAGTTCAGATCATCTTCTTCCTCCTCCTTCTCTGAGACGTAGGCAGCCTGGCTTGAAAGTACAGAGGGCTCGCTGAGCAGAGGTGCATGCCGGTGTCAAAAGAAGGCAAGGCGATGCCTCCTGTCGCTGACTGACACACACCCAGGATGAGTCGCTGATCATTTAGGGGGAGAATCGCAGAGAAGAATGAAAACTGCCAAGAGACGCACCAGGCTCGTCATTGAACAATTCCGTTTCACCCTTAATTTTAGAAGGAAAGCATCAGGAAGAGTGTCAATGAAATCATGAAAAAATATATTCCTCATTTTTTCCTTTCACTGATTGGAAGAAGAAAGCATTGTGGAAGTCTCCTTCCAGTGCCCTTCATTTCTCCTCAACCTACAATAGAGTTCCCTGAGTTTGCCACATGGTATTGGGACTAGGGCTATCTTTCCATCAAAATCTATTATCCCGTCCCTCTGAATTTCACTCTTGTGAAATCGATTTTCAGTTTTAAGACTGAGAAAAATTAAGCTTTGAAATGATAACATCATTTGCTATATTTGTGCAGTGACAATTTTGTAACCCAGGGGATTTGTCAAAAGCATGACACTCACTGTTGCAAAATTCAAACCAACTGTGCCAGATCATGAAGAGACACTGGGGTCAGGGGGAGAGGATGGAGGTGCTGATTTTGCCTTTCAACTTGCCTTTCCTACAACCTGTTATGTAATTGGTGGGAACATTGGGTGGATTATAAGATTTTTATCAGTAGAATCATCATCAGGGTAATCCCTTTGTTTTAAGTAGCAGCTCAAGCATTTAATAGCATTTGATATGAAATTTGGAATTCTTAGAACAAGAGTACAGTGTGGAAACACCAACAATTAATCCAGAAATGAGTCTATGATAGCCTGTAAATGCCTTTGCCTCATGCCATTCCTTGCCTTGTTTTTTTTTCTTCCTTTCTAGAATAAGATGATCATGTTTTAAGTGTTACAGGGTACTTGAATGATGGAAGATGTCATGTGAATAGCCAGTGTTATTAATGATACCAGCCACCTCCTCTCCCACCTTTCCCTGTCTGCACCCTCTGTGCCCCGTTATGGCCTTGACCCCTCACTCCTAGCACTGGCCCATGAATTGTGTTTTGTATTTAAAGACCTCCCTGCACAATAGTGTGTTATCCACATGAGCAGCCCATAGTCTCAGCACCCTGCACCCTAGCTGGAGTTTATACTCTGAATTGGTGCTACCCTGCTGAAACCTCTTTGATTTATATTTTCCCCGTTGCACCCGGGCTTGTGTTTTTCTTCCACAGCCACATGCATCGGGTGCCCTGACTGGCCGCCACATGGTTCTTCATCAGACTGGTTTGGATTTTACAGGGTGTTAGAGTTTTTAAATTGGCTCACCAAGTCTCTCACACTTGGGCTTATAGAAGTTATGGAATGATTAACTTAATAGGTGCTGTTTATCCCCAAAGATGTTCAGCTTTATTCATGCTTAAGCTGAGTGTTGGCAGAAAACAAACAATTCTTTGTAGATCGTGATTGCAGAGCCATGTGATTTCATGACTTTCTTTTGCTGTATAAATGATTGGGTAGCTCATTAAGTTTACTCTGTTATAGTAGGGGGCCACAACAGAGGACACTCAGGATGAGGACAGAAGGAACTCTTAGGCTTCAGGAAGAACTTGGGGGTTCTTTAAGAGAAAGAAAATGAAGTAACCCTAGTGTATCTGACTATACAATAATTTTTCCCTTGTTGTCTCTTACTCTCCTGCAGAGCTGCCCAGAAATTGAATCTGTCTTCTAAGAAGAAGAAACATCGACCTTCTACTTCCGTGGCTGAGCCACCCCTCTTTGCCACTAGCTTCAGTGGGATTCTGCAGACCTCTCCTCCCCCAGCCCCACCCTGTCTGCTAAGGGCAGTCAACAAAGTGAAGGACACCCCAGGCCTGGGCAAGGTAGGTACTGTCCACTGTCACCACTACTTACTCAGAGTGGGGGTTTCTGGATCAAGTTTGGAAAAGAATAAAATGAGGGCTCCAACTTGTTAAAATAAGAGGGTGCTGGGGAGAAAGGAGACAAGATGAAATTCATTTGGAAGTACTATAAAATTTTCTTTGGTGACATACACTAAGTAGTAAATTGAGACATTCAAATTGTTGGAGATCTGATTTGATTTTAGTAGGAAAAAATCCCCCCAGCATTCCATTGTTTGACAGAGCTGTAGCCTTTTAAAGAAAAGGCACAAAGACACAAAAGACAGAGGGAGAGGCAGAGGCAGGAGACCAAGAGAAGGCATAGTACATGGTACAGAAATGAGACATAAAAACGCTTTGTAATTTCCCCATGACGCTTTTTTTTTCTCCCCTTCAGAGAAATCATGATTTCTGCTTTTGAGCTAGACCACCAATGGGATTTCTGGGGAACATTTTCAGTCATGCCTTTCTAGCCAAGAAATGCAATTTTGAATTATTGTAAATACTTAGAAGGAGATGTAGCATCACTCTTACAAAATGTTCCTCTGCTCCATTTGGGATAACTGTATTTTTAACTGTCATCTCTGTACTCTTTCTTCTGAGATAAAGATTTGTAGTTTGGTTGACTCTTCAATTGGAATATAAACTGGGGCTTATACAAACATTCAGCTAAAGAAAGAGATGGCGGTTTTACTTTTCCTTTTCATCCAAAGTAGGATGGTGTGTGTAACCTCTCAGTCCTTTGCAGACTTAACATGACTCTGACCCTGGGCTTCATTTTGGGAAGTTTCTAGTCTTGCTGAAGGGAACAATTGCTAAACTCTGAGGATCAAGATTTTACTTGTTCAGATCACCAACTGCCTATCCCCTGGACACCCAAACATGGTTATGCTCAGATTTGTGGCCTTCAGAAGGCCTCAATCCCTCCGGAGCTTACCCTTGACCCCTCTGGAGTTTACCCTCGGTCCCTCATTTCTCTTGTCCCCTTCCATGCTTTCTCACCCTCAGTCTCATCACCTTGTTGGGAAGTTATTTACTTCATATGATACCTTTCTCCAAGAAGAGTATAAACGTTAAGGTTACAATGAACAGAGCATTGCTTACTCTGATGGAGTGCATCCAGTCCTGGAATTTTCCCTGGCATCGGTCAGGGCAGAGAGTTTTCAGCTGAAGACTTTCCCAGGCCCAGAAGTGAAGTAAGACCCAAGGCAGCAGGGCCTGGGCTAGCTGCGGGGGCTGCTCCAGCATCGCCAAACAGCTAGAAGCAGAAGGAGAAAACAGTGTGGACCAGGACTCCCCTCCTGGAGAGAACTCAAGGGTGGAAGCCACTGAGGAAGGACAATGATACCTCCACAGGGGGGGCATGTAGAGTAATAATGGATGACTGGTGTTCTGCATTCTGAGGGGGTGGGTCCAAGTAACTGCTCTTTTTTAAGTTTCCAATTTTTAATGATGGTAAGATACAGATAACATAAAAATTACCATCTTAATTGTTTTTAAGTGTACACGGGCTCTTGTTTTGGGAAGAAGAGGAGTTGGGAACGCCAGTGCCAGAGCTAACTGCTCTGGACAAAGTGAAATCAAGCTACCAACACAGTCTCCTCCCCATCTTGTGGTCTAAGCAACATCCACTTCTCTTCTGAATAAGTATGAGCAAATATTTCAATGCTATCCCTTTGAAAAGGTGCCAGATTATTAGCCATCCTGGGGTGCTCATACACTCCAATGTAGCCCTGTGCGGGTCACCTCAAAACAACCACATCAGAAACTGTCTTCCTGCATTTATAATACCATAATTCCTAAAAGAGTTGATGTGGATGCATTTTCAGGGCCTCTGTCCCTTCCTTTCCTATCCCTAACCCCCCTTTCTGGAATTCCACGACAAGGGTATCAAGGTGTCGAGGCCAGGGACTTAGAGAGCAGAAAAAGAGTTCCCAGCCAGCAGGATGAACAGCACTTCAGAGAGCTAAAGGGCACTAGTCCCATCTTGATTTCATGAGATACTATATGTAGTGACCGGGTATAAGGGACCTTACAAGGAAGAGTTACACTCGTTAGTAAACTAACATTTGCAAATCATACATTTAATTTTAAAATGAAAGATAATCCACTCATTTGCAATCTGGAATGCAATCAAAGTCTGAGTTTGTCTGTGGAATTGTGTCACTGGATAGAGGTGTCAGCCTGGAGTCCCAGAAGGTGATGGAAGTGGTGACTTCTGTCTGACCAGTGGTCACATGGCAGCTGAGTCCTGCTGAGCATGGGGGGACAGTGGTGGGGAGGAGGGAAAGGTTGGAGGGAGAGAACTCTGCAAGGCAGTGGTAATCATTTATGTTAAAACATGTATCATGATTGAAACAAGAGGTTAACAAGATCCCGGCTCTTCCTGCACAGTGTCTGCTTCTCACAGTGCCATCAGGTTCTTCCTTTGCCATGCCATGTAGGTGCCAAACTGCCTAAGGCCCAGCTTCCTAGACTCCTACTTTTTCTACCTCCACTGGCCTCTTGCTATAATTAGGAACTGCAGTTCTTTTGTTCCAGATGTAAAAATTTCCATCAATTTATCTCTGCTGCATAATTTATATTTTAATATCTCCAAGAAATGCCATAGAGTTTAATATAGAACATAGAAAAAGAAAAAAATAGAACATAAATAATTGGTGCTATATATAAATTGTCATATTTGAAGTAGACAAGCTTGATTGAATTGCCAAGAGCAACTTGATAGGTAAACCTGGGCTGTGGACCTCCTAGGGTAGGGGAAGCAAGGAAGTTCTCACACTTGAAAGGACCCTGAGGATGAGAGCCTTGTCGCTCAGCTTGACCACTGCCTCTCAGGCCTCAACCATCCAAGGCCTCACTCTGGAAACCTGGGAGGTTTTCCAGGTATGGAAGATATTTGATGGGTTTATTTAGAGTAACCCTCTTTTGTAGTAAAGAAGAACACTGAGGCCCAGCGAGGGTAAGAGAGTTTCCAGCGACTTCAGAAGCAGAGCCAGAAGTCAGGACCCTGCAGCCATTTTATTTTCAGCCATATTGCTGGGCTGCCGCTAGATATATAAGTAGATGACCCTTTAAAATTTGAGGTGAGCCGGGCTCGGTGGCTCAGCCTGTAATCCCGCGCCTTTGGGAGGCTGAGGTGAGTGGATTGCCTGAGCCCGCGGGTTCGAGACCCACCTGGGCAGCAAGACCTCATCTCTACAATAAATAAAAAAAAATCAGCCGGGCGTGGTAGCGCATGTCTGTAATTCCGGCTACTTGGAAGGCTGAGGTGGAAGGATCGCCGGAGCCCAGCAGGTCGAGGCTGCGGTGGCCGGGAGCGGCCACTGCACTCCAGTCTGGGCGACAGAGTGAGACTCCAACTCAAAAAAAAAAAAAAAAAAAAAAATTTGAGGTGGAGGCCCCGGCGCATGGGAAGATGGCAGAGCCGGCGACCAAGTCGGTGCTGTTTGTGTGTTTAGGTAACATTTGTCGGTCACCCATTGCAGAGGCAGTTTTCAGGAAACTTGTAACGGATCAAAACGTTTCAGAGAATTGGAGGGTAGACAGCGTTGCAACATCTGGGTATGAGACAGGTAACCCCCCTGGCTACCGAGTGCAGAGCTGCATGAAGAGGCACGGCATTCCCATGGAACCACGTTGCCCGGCAGATTACCAAAGAAGACTCTGCCACATTTGATGACATACTATGTATGGATGAAAGCAATCTGAGAGATTTGAATAGAAAAAGTAATCAAGTTAAAAACTGCAGAGCTAAAATTGAACTACTTGGGAGCTATGATCCACAAAAACAACTTATTATTGAAGATCCCTATTATGGGAATGACTCTGACTTTGAGACAGTGTACCAGCAATGTGTCAGGTGCTGCAGAGCATTCTTGGAGAAGGCCCACTAAGGCTGACCATGTCCTGATGAGCCATCCTCTAGATCCCACTGACGCCCTGCATTTCTCAGTCAGCATGCTAAAATATAATAATTTTCCACAGTCCAAGGCCCCAGCTCTTTCTTCAGCTCACTTACTGTTTCTTACCTTAAAAAATAATGGTAGATGGAGATCTGTTGTGTTTGGCAGATGAATAAATAAAAATCTTTGATTGAGACAGTTTATGGGGTATGTTAGGCATTCTTAAACTATTTGAACCTCTCACTTTGCCCCAGTTACAAAAATAGTGGGACAGGCAACATATATAACAACAAAATAAAGCATAATGAAGTCAAACATCACTTGGCCCAGGTCAACACCTCAGCCTTGAGGCTTAGATAATCTAGTCTACCTCTTCAGTAGGTTTGTGTGGATGGCTTGATGAAGGACAGGTGCCCTCTGCTCCCCTGTGCTGCTTCTCTCTTTGCCCTGGAACCTTTTATGGAGAGACAGTAGCCCCCTCTGTAGGAGCTCATAATCTAAATAGGAGTGTTTTAATTCATGCACACCCATTGTGCACACTTGTATGTGTAAGAAATAGGAAAGAAAGGTATATGGTCTCAGTTCTGAACACCTTTAAAACTTCCTGATTTGGTCTAGTTTATTTCATGAGGAGGTTGACTTATTTGCTCCTATTTGTATCACTTTCCCTCTGAAAACTTACTTACACCCAGAAAGGACACATACCCAGAAAGGACACATTTATGCTGGCTTAGAACATAGCATTGAGGAATGTGTTTTTTTTTTTTTTAATGTACTTGTAACCCAGATGTCAAATATAAATTGACTTAGGTGGGAAAAAAATAATTTAAAAGTTGGAAAGAGTTGTATTTTGTAGGCATGCTTGATATGTTAAGTATTCTTTCATGAGCATTTAATAAATTTATAGGCAAATATAGGTAGTTTTTGTATACTTTGAAATAACCAATGTGAAATTCATATGGATGTATGTCAGAAAAGATTGTTTTGAAAACAAACTGGGTAGTTATAAAAAATACAACTGAGATATGAAAATAAAATAAAATAAAATTTAGGGTGGAGCCAATACTGTCATGGGACCATGGTGGTAGCAAAATAACATTGGGAATCAGTTGCCTTCATCCAGTGGAGAAGGACACACTTCTCTCTTCAGAGTCAGGGCTGGGAAAGAAAGTACAATAATGAACCAAGAATAAAAATACAGAGGGAGACTGGAGGCACTCCATCCCACCCCACCCCTGCCTAATACCCACTCCCTGCTGTTTCTAGCAGCAACCCTCCATCCCCAGTCATTGTAAGCCATTGAGTAGTTCTTAAGTCAAAAGCTTTTTTGGCACGCACGTACACACTCTCACACACACACACACACACACACACACACACACACACACACCACCCCACACACGCACATCTCAGGATCCTCAGCACCAAAGGCAGTTCCTGGTACCCAGCCACTATTTATTGAGCACCTACTATGTGCCAGGTAGTGTGCTCGGCAGTAGGTTTGCAATGATGGACAAAGCAGAGTGCCTGTCCTTATAGCACTTATATCTAGTGTTTTATTCCAATCAAATTTAGAAGTCTCACCAATTTGGAACAATAGGAAGGACAGTCTGATTTAAGGAAAAGTCCAGATTTACAGATTTTAAATGATTCCGTCTAACTTTCAAGTTACATAGAGAAGTGATGTTACTAAGTAGTCTTATAGAGACATTCTTAATGAGTAGATAAAGATGATTAGTGGATCAAAGCAGCTTAGTCCCCATTTATATTTCACTGATTTGGCTTATATGTAAATGATCCTTATAATCTGTTTGAAAATGGTTCCTTCTCCTAAGTCAGTAAATATTCTTCATGAAATTTGTTTGCGCAATTAATTAACATCCATGTTTAAGGTTCATTTGTTAGTGTGTCACAGCTTAATGTCAGAGCTTTTGTCTTTGATTACAAGCTTCTAGAGCAAAGCATGTTATCTGTTTAACTCACTAAGTATAGGGTTCTGCAGCCACCCCATGGGGGGTATGAACACTTTTAAAGGTGAAAACAATAATGGTGACAGTCACATTGGGTTGATGACAACCTGTAGGCTGGATGATTCTCTTCTTCTCAGAAGTGTATTTGAAGGAAAATACAGGAAGCATGAAGGGGAAAAGAGCCTTCTTTTTCCTCGTAATCTTCATGGATGCCTCAGAAGAATGACAGTGTTCAACACCCAGCCTTTTCCCCCTAATCATGTTTTGGGAGTACCAGAAAATTCTCATAGGCAGATGCTAGAAGCAAGAGAACAGACTCTATAGATTTTGGAAGGATTATTAGAAAATTGGAGCAAAAATGAAGAGGAATTGGAGGTGCTCCATCCCACTCCACCCCTGTCCAGTTCCCGCTCCCTGTTGGAGACAGATCAAAGAGACCTTGTCCTACTTGATTCACTCAGGAAATAACTATAAAGACACCACTGAGGGGGACGGGATACAGGGGCAGGTCGACTGCTCTTGGCCACATCACTGCACAAAAAGGGAAGGCATATCCCCATCTCCATAAACTCTAAGCTCCCATGGAAATGTTGAACTGATGTTCAGCCTCAGCCCCCACTCCTGTGCTGTAAATGCTGCTTCCTGTCCTTTGGATCCTGCTTGGCCCAGTCTGGATAGAAGCGCTGTGTCGTTCTGTCCACAGTGGATGCCCATCACCATCCATGCTCACCCAGTGGGTATTTCTGAAATGCTTCACTGCAACTTCATGGGCCACCACACCTGGCTAATTTTCCTGGGCAGTGCAACCCCAAAGCGGGCAATTTGGTGGAGGTGGCAGAAATACGATTAGGAACAAACTTGTTTATCTGGCCAGATTATCTTTCTTATGAAATAAGGGCTGAAGTCATTTTTTTCTGTTCTCTCTAGACATCGATTTTAAGTCACCTGTCTCTTATTCCAGAGCTATTTTTTAAACTCAATGCTGGCATATTTTAACTTCTATTAACACTTATACTTGCTAAATAATCTCTCTTCCTCTCTCTCTCTCTCACTCTCTCTCTCTCTCTCTCTCTCTCTTATACACACACACACACACACACACACACACACACACAGTGCTTGTCTCATGTCAGCAGGTCCTGTATTGTCTAGCTTTAGTTTAACTCTCAACTTTTCCTCATTTGGTGTATAAACCAATAGCACAAGGAAAAAATATATAAAAAGAACCGTGTGTGTATTTTAGTGAAGAATCTTTTTCTTTACAAGTTTATTAATATTTTTAGGGTAGAGGTCATTTAATTACTAAATTCTTGTGACACCATACGAAAAAAAAAGACAATATTTCTATTCAATTCATATTCTGATTACAAGAAGAGAGAAAATAATAAGAGAAAAATTAGATTAAAAGGTACTATGCAGCTAATTTTCTTATTCAGCAAGCAGAAATGGCAAGGACAGCTCTCTTGTTCAGGAAGTGATGCCAGGTTATATCCAAGAGAAAAAAATCTCATGCCCTCCAGTCTACCAAGTCATAGTTTATTTAAACAATATGCAAATTGTCAAATTTCCCATTATCATTTCTGCTTTTCTTCATCCTGAAGCTTTATCAAAGAGAAGACAAGAGAATTGAACCAGGCTTTAAAACCTTTCTTTCAAGTATATATGAAATAAATAATTCAACTGTGATGGAAAATTCTGGACCCCATCAGTCACTTCCATTCTTACACACTAAAGATGGGAAAAGTGAATAGGGAATTCTCTCCTAATTTGGCGTGTTGTTGGGGGAAAAGGGGAGGAAGCTGCAAAAATAATAGATATACATTCATCACCACAGCTAGCCTGATAACTTTGTAAATTAAATTGTTAGCTCTTCTGGGAAATAAACTTGTGTGATCTTCCTCTCCCTAATTATAGTTATTCTTTTCTGTGCTCAATTGATTTTGGTTGAGTCTCCTAAGGTCATGTAGTTAGAGTAGGCTGGCTGTTGTTTTCCTTTCTTTCTGTCTTTCTTTTTTTTTTTTTTTTTTTTTTTGAGTTAGCGTCTCACTCTGTCGCCCAGACTGGAGTGCAGTGGCCGCTCCCGGCCACCGCAGCCTCGACCTGCTGGGCTCTGGCGATCCTTCCGCCTCAGCCTTCCGAGTAGCCGGAATTACAGGCGAGCGCTACCACGCCCGGCTAATTTTTTGATTTATTGTAGAGAGGAGGTCTCGTCTGCCCAGGCGGGTCTCGAACCGCGGGCTCAGGCAATCTACTCACCTCAGCCTCCCAAAGGCGCGGGATTATAGGCTGAGCCACTGAGCCCGGCTTCTTTCTGTCTTTCTTATTTCGACCCCTTCTCCAACTCCATATCTGAAGAGAAAGGAGACTTGGGGAAAATATTCTGACTCATTACTCTTTTTGCCCAGGGATGTAGATTTCCGCCCAGTCCTAATGTGCGCCAGCCTCGGGGCTGCACATGCGCAGTGTGTGGCTGCGCCATCCCAGGAGCCCAGAGCTAGGGAGCGGCAAGTGGTGCCACACGAAGGATCGTGCTGTTTCTGGGGACAAACCTGAGGGACCTCAGCCATGGGCACTTTTTTCTTTGTCATGCCACTCTTGAATATAGCTGTCCTCATTCTTGCAAATGAATGGGAACTATTAGGAGGTTGCTCTGCATTAAAGGCCACAGGACAGAAAAGTCATGATAAGTGTGTAAAGAAAGTGTGAAGTCCTTTTTGCTCTTTATTATTACTGGTTTTTTTAGAGACAATATCTTGCTGCGTCATCCAGGCTGGAGTGCAGTGGCACGATCATAGCTCTCTGCAGCAGCCTCAGATTCCGAGGCTCAAGTGATCCTCCAGTCTCAGCCTCCCCAGTAGTTGGGACTAGAGGCACGGGCCACCACACCTGGCTAATTTAAAAAATTTTGTGTATCTCACTATGTTTCCCTGCCTGGTCTCGGACTCCTGGCCTCAAGTGATCCTCCTGCCTTGGCCTTTTAAAGCTCTGGGATTACAGGCAAGAGCCACCATGCCTGGCTCTTCATTATTAAGACTGTCTTTTAATTCTGCTAATCAGGTTGCTTGGATATAATTTTCTGTTGTCTTCAGATCAGATGGAGAACTAGAAGGGGTAAGCAGCACATTTCAGTTTAAATAGATCAGATTTCTGATAAGATAGCATATTGCTGCATATAAAATATTCATTTTCTGGCTTTCCTGGCCTGAGTATCTATGCAGAACA